AACTCACTTGGTAGCCCAGGCTGGCCTCGAACTCACAGAGATCCGCCTGGCTCTGCCTCCCGAGTGCTGGGATTAAAGGCGTACACCACCACCGCCCGGCTTCAGATTGTGGTTTTCTTTATGTTTTTTTTTTTTTAAACCCAATTCCTACAGCAGTTTCTTTGTCCTAGACTAGCATAAACATGATTATTCACTCACATTGGCTTGGGCTATGGATTATTTTGGATATACTTCTGTGCCAGACCTTCAAAAATGGCCCTGAACTAGGGTTTTTAAAAATCCAAATTGAGCAAGGTGTGGTGGCACACACCTTGAATCCCAGTGCTGGAGAGGCAGAGGCCAAAAAACAACTGGAGATGTTCAGTGAAGAGATCTGTGTCATGGAATAAGATGAAAGAATGATACACAGATCAGGATGCTTGATACGTCCTCCTCTGGCTTCTGCACAGCCACACCTACATACACTACACCCCCCCCCCCTCAGATCCTCATGCTTAGGCAGCCAGTGCTCTCACCCACTGAGTCATTCCCCGGCACCACCCCCATTTCACAACTTTTAAATATGAAATATGAGAAACGTGGGAAGCAGCTATTAGCCTTTTTCAGACCTTTGACCGAGGCTTGTCCATGATGCAAACAAGTCTCGTGTCTGGGTGCCATTTGTCCAGGTCTCATTTTAAAAACATCTTTGGGGTTGGGGATTTAGCTCAGTGGTAGAGCACCTGCCTAGCGAGCGCAAGGCCCTGGGTTCGGTCCTCAGCTCCGGAAAAAAACAATCTTTGAAAGGCCAGTGATGTAGCTCAGTGGTAGAGCACTTGCCTCCCACAAGAAGGGCCCTGAATTTGATCCCTAGTACCACTAAGTTGATACATTAATATTTTTGTGATCTGAATATTTGTGTTGTAACTTAACCCTTCATAGAGTAGTGTTCAACTTCGCTTCAAAGGAAGGGAGTGATGGTCAAAGTCACAGGCAGTTCAGTCAAGGCTGAAATTCCAAAGGTACATGAAGCTGGCTGTCATTTTAAGTTGGGTATCCTAGAGCGGCCTCACAGTCCACTAGACAGACAAACACAGGTCGACTGGTATTTGCTTAGTTCCCTCTTTCTCTTCCAAGGTCACAGCAAATCCTCACATGCTGAGATCACATTTTATTCTATTCTTTATTTTTAGGCATGCACTAAAAATAAAGATTGTTTTTATTTCCTTGATTTTAAGGAATTCAAGGAAGGAAGCACATAGAAGCAGGTGGTATAATCTTTTTTTTTTTTTTTGTATAATCCTTTTTTAAAACAGCAAGTAGCATTATTTCTTGGTAGATTATGATGGTTAGTTTTTTTTTTTTGTTTTTTTTTTTTTTTT